TCTGATATGCTTACATATTTCATTTAGTGTAGGATGTCACTGTTTACAGAACAGACATACTTTATGTAGTATTACAAATATGCTGCCCTATTAAACTGACTTTCTCAACAAAAGGAAAAAGTTGATGAGCTTACTTCCATTAAAGCCAGAAAGGAAAAATTTTAATATATTCTCGTTTTGGTGTAAAGACTGTATTTAAACTTAATGTGAGTTTTAACACACCTCCTTTTCAACGTGTCGATTAACGTGTTCAACGGCATCAACACTGTACCAAGAAAGGGCCATCAGAACACTCACGAGGGCAAGAACACAGGTGTGGCTGGCCCTCGGGTGTCTGGTGGGGCCGGCCGGTCCCCGGAGCGCACGCCGCCCTGCGGAAGTACCACTCGGACCCTCTTCTGTACAAAGAACGCTGTGTGCCCTGAGTGACAGCGCCTTAACGCGGGGATGCTTTCGTAAAATACCGTTGAACCTTGAACAACTAGGGTTTGAACCACTCGGATCTTCTCACGTGTGGATTTTTTTAAATAGAAAATGCTGCAGACCGGATCCACCAACGCGAAACCAGGGTGATGGAGGGCGACCGTCAGTCATACTCCATTCTGACGGCAGAGGGTCGGCGCCCCAGCCCCGCTGGCTCAAGGGTCGACTGGAGCCCTCATGAAATTCTAGTGAGAAAATAAAGAGAAACCCTGGGGCAAAGCCCCGAGGATGAGATTCCGTGCCCACGTCCATGACCGACGCCCGCACTCTGCCTTCCCGCCCGCTGTCCCCCAAGTCCCGGCTGAGGACAGCACGGGCTCCACAGGCCACCGGAGGGTGGCATCTTGCTCAGGGGAAGGACACTGCGGTGTCGTCGGGACCACGAGTGAGGGCAGGCATGGCTCACCCACAACGACACAGCCTTGGAGTGGCGTGGCGTGGCGCCTCAGGCGCCACCAGCACCAAGTGCGTGACTCAGATGGACACGGTCCGACCACACAGAAGGGATCCCAGCTGTGTAATCCTGCTGGGGCCCAGGTCAAGCCGACAGGCCCGGGCTCCCCAGGGGTCGGCTCCAGAAGCAGATCCACACTATACACACACACACACACACACACACACACACACACACACAGAAAATGCCTTGTGAGTGAGGACTGCAGCTATGCTGTCCCAAGACAAGATCTACCAGAAGCTGGAGGGAGCCCTGAATCAGATCCTCCCCCTGGTGCCCTCAAGGCCTTGCCAACACCTAGATGTCACACTTCCAGTCTCCAGGACCATGAGACGACAGATTTCTGTTGTTCTGAGCCACCTAGTTTGTGGCACCTCGTTGTTTTGTTTTGTGGCTGCACCGCATGGCTTGTGGGATCTTAGTTCCCCGGCCAGGGATTGAACACGCACCCTCAGCAGTCAGAGTGTGGAGTCCTAAGTGTAAGGCCAACTGGCCTGAGGCAGGGGAACACAATCAGATTCACAGGTTGCATCAGACCGAAACTCTCCGGACCACCCAGTTCCAGAAACTGACCTGGAGACTTTCCGGACCACCCAGTTCCAGGAACTGACCTGGGGACTTTGAACCCGGCCCAGCCTTCCCGCCTTTCGAGGGGCAGGACTAACGGTCCCCCAGGATACCCAAAAAGACCACCAAATAAGGAATACCCTGCGCCCTCCCAGATTCACCACACCCCTTTCCCTTCTTCCCCTATAAAATCTTGCCCAACCCTCGCCCGGGTGCGACTTCTCCGGCCCCTTTCTCTCGGACCAGTGAACCTCACCCGGGAGCGCTCCCTAATAAAGCTCACTTGAAGCTTTCCTCTGTTTCGCGGTGCCATTTGTTAAGATCCGACCTTACACTAAGCACTGGACCGCCAGGAAGTCCCTTGTGGTACTTTGTTACAGCAGCCCTAAGGGACAGATACAGGCACCCTCTGCTCTGTCCCCTTCTCTCCAGACCATGGTAGGTGAGGGTAGAGGCAGGGCCCTTCACAGACAGACCAAGGCCACCGCTGGCTGGTCACTCTGGCCCGGACTGGGAGCTCCGGACACAGCTCTCAGCCTCCGGGGGCCATGGGAGGATGAGGGGGCTCCCTGGAGCTGGTCGCGCCCCCCCACCCCGTTCCTGGAGCCCAGAAAGCCCAGGAGTAGCCAGACCCCACCCCTCACCGTCCTCTGGGCCCCTCCCCCAGCCATCAGCAGGTTGGAATGGCCGCTATCTGCGTCTTCATCTCAGTAGGGGAGACAGAAAGAAGCACTCTTGCCTGGTCACTGCCTCTCACCAATGTCCCCTGGCTCAGGCTGGCCCTTTCAGGAAGGGCAAGCAGGACAGACTGTGGGCCAACACCCTCTTCTCAGAAGGGCCTGGGGTCAAGCCAGGAAGCAGGGAGGGAAGTGGTGGGCAGGAGGCCTGATTGGCAGGATGCTGAGGGCAGGGCCCTCTCCCTCCAGGTGCTCTGTGGAGGAGGGGCGAGCCTCTTGCCTCCTTCCCTACATCTGAGCAGCATGGGTGGCCCTCCGCAGGAGTTCCGCTCTGTCAAGGGTCAGCTCCAGAGACTTTAGTCCATTTTCTCCAAAGCAGACCTGATGCAGCTGGCTGAGTCAGGACCCTGGGACTTTCAGGATGGAGCCCAGTGTCTGCCAAGGGTAGGAGGGAGGAAAATGCCCTGAAGGTCCTCATGAGACCTGTTCACCAGAGTCCCACCTCTGGCTGTGACCAGTCCCCACCCAGGGCAACCAGGGTCTGCTGGCCACAGGACACCAGGACAGGTCCAGAGCTCTGCAGGTTTCCTGGGAAGGTTGAGGGGTGGCACACCCTATAGCAGCCCGGGGCGTTATAACCCCTAACCCCTAACCCTAAAGCACGTTCACTAATTGTGCTGACATGTTGTGCAGAATTTGAATGAGGGTGAGTTTGAAGAGCGTGCTTCATGCGGGGACAGGTTGTGTGGGTAACCGTGGGTAAAATGCGTTGTGGAACTCAGTTATTTACATCAACCACAGTTTGGGCGAAGGGTAAGTCATAAAGTTGGAGAGTGACTCCTGGTGATGGGGTGCACACTGTGCGCATGTGCGGGGAACGTCAGTGACGCCTGAGATCCCAGACCTGGGGTAAAAGGGAGAGTAAAGTGCTCACGAATTCTGAGAATTAGGTAAGCACATTAGGGAAACTAATGAATTAGTTAAGAGAAAATTTGATGAGAGACAGGCTATTTACATAGCTTCAAAGCACCACCCCCTAAAATACACAAAGAGAAAAAGAGGAACTTTACAGTGGAGAAGCTTGGTCAGCAACACCCTAACCAGGTGATGGAGATACGCACCATCAGCGGTGGGGTGAGTGACAAGGACACGCACCGCCCAGAAGACGCAGTAAGGACCAAGCGTCACTTCTGGGATCTTCCTTCCAAATGCAAACCCCAAATTACAAGGAAATGTCAGACATGGCCACTTTGGGGGACATTCTGCAGAGTAACCAGCTTGCAATACTCAAGCCGAGGTCATGGAAGGCCAGGAAAACCCAGGGACTGTCCCAGACTGAAGGGCACTGAAAGCCCTGTTGAGTAGAGGCAGGATTCTCTCACATCCAGGGCGTTACTGGGATGACGACCTGAACTCTCATGGGGTCTGGCAAATTAGGAGGCGGTAAAGCACCAGGACTGATTCCCTGATTTCCATGGAGGTGCTGTGCGCATGTAGAATTCCTTATCTGAAGGAAACACATAAAAGTATTAGGGGAATATGATGGGGCAGCAGGTCAGTAACTTGTTCTCAAATGGCTGAAGGGAAAAAAGATCTTTGTACCCCATTTTCAACTTTTGGCCAGTTTTCAATTGTTTCAAAATAAGAAAATGTTCTCAAACTGAAAGGCCCGCGTTTCCAGGAACCTGGAATGTGAGTGGCCGTCCACGTGGCACACCTGTCACTCGTGACGCTCGGCCCTGCTTGTGGTTCCGGCGAGGAAGATAGGACGTGATGGGATGCAGGAGTGCTGGTGGTCTCAGCTGAGACACCGCTCCCGGGGAGCTCCCAGTGTCCGCTCAGGCGTCCCAGGCTCTCAGCTGCTCCCACTTCATCCCACCCCGCAGCAAGCACCTGGAAGTGCCCCCGTGGTCCTCTGCCTCTCCCCACTCTCCTGTGAGCCCCGAAGGCACAAACCTGACTTTGCTCCCCGCTGTACCACTTCTGTCGACCAACAGGATGGGGAGGTGAGGGTCAAGGGCCCATCCCCGGGGAGGACAGTCCCGGGTGCCAAAGCTCAGCCCCTGGCCTGTGCGCTCAGCACGCCGCCTCCACCTTGGGGGCATTTCCTCGTTCCCGGGGCAAAATGACCAGGCAAGGGGCAGAGCGTAGAGATGCCCACGGGACGCTGCTTGTAACACGGAGCTGGTGGAAAGGATCCGAATATCCCTCACCAGGTCCTGATGTGTGGAGTAGTGCCCTCGCTCTGTGCAATGGGGGCCAGGCCTGGCAGGGGCAGATGTCCGGCACAATTAAGTGAATGGGGGAGGGGCGCGTCAGAACATTAAACTTTAATTGAACAGAACACTTGGTCGGCAAACACAACGGATCACAACGGCGAGGGGAAGGCGCCGAGCCCCACCCAGCACTCTCCTGCGGTGGACGTGCCTGTGGGCCGCACTCACCACGGGGCTGGGCAGAGAAGGCCAGCTTGTCACAGCACAGGCGGGAGGGTGGCTGCAGTGCCACACCCTCCTCTCTGGAGAGGGGCCTGCCTGCCCAGGAGCTTGACTGCAAAGCTGCTGCTGCCTGAGTAGAACAGACCCAACTTTGACTTCTGACTTCACGAATGTTTCTCAGATGCTTCTTGCAGTATAGGGAGTTGCCAACCAAACTATTCAAACATGGCAGGGGGCCCAGCAGCCCTCAGTGCTTCTCAGCAGAACCCCCGGGGAACTCTGGGGACCTCCTTATTCTGTAGGGACAGAGCTCTGCAACTTGTGTTACCAGATGTCCACACTTGCTCCCTTGGAGCGCTGGCCAGGCTCCCGAGGGGCAGCTCAGCCCAGGCTGCCCCCTGAAAGCTCAAGGAGCATCCTGGCTCCCCAGAAGGCGTCGCTGGAGGTCTGGCCATCAGGCCACTGCACCTGGAATGCCAACACAGCATCACACATGGAGGTGCCCTCTGGGGGCTCTGCCTTCCCATCCGGGTCACCCTGACCCTGGGACCCGCCCCCTCTGGACTCTGCCCCATGACACCTGCCTCCAGTTCTCATTCCACCTAAGTCCAGCCTCGAGGCATCCCTGCCCCATGTTCAACTCTGCCCATTTTATTCACTCCAAAGACCCAAGCTGAGGACCCAGGAGTTAGGAGGGAAACCCATGGTACCTCATAGGAAGGCCTCACCTGGCTGGAGGGTATGGGCTGGCCCAGGTCCATGGCCGGCATGGGGCCAGGGAAGACAGGCGGGGCCGGGGCCAGCTCCGGGGGGCTGGAAAAGGGATAGTGTCAGGACAGGCCCTTTTCCAGGCCCTGTTTGAGGCTCACGCTGTTTACTGTGAGCGCCACACCCTGAGAGCTTTCTGCCCATCAGAAGCCCTTCCTGGTGCCGGACTCTTTTGGGAACGGCCTCCTCCTGCAGGGCCCTCAAGTGTACAGGGTGCTGGAGGGGCCTGTGTGACACCTTGAGCAGGTGGCTCAGGTAGTCAGAGAGCACATCAGCGCAGGCTCACAGAGGACGGGCTGGTAAGCAGAGATGTGAAGGAAGAAAAGGAACAGGCCTGAGGTGTGACGGAGCCCAGAGGTCCTTAGGACCAAATCCGGGGTGGCGGCAGGGGACGCAGATGCAGCCGCCCGGGACAATATCATGCGGTCCCTCAAAGTCAGACCACACTCACCCTGTGACCTACTCATCCCACCCCTCAGACACGAGGGCAAACACGCAGGCTACCACGCGTCGGGAATGTGCACAGCAGCCCCAAACCAGGAGCTCCCAGACGCCCACCAACAGGTGCTGACAGTCCACGCCAAGGACTCGGACTCAGCCATGAAGAGGAAGGGGTGCTGACACACACGGCAGCAGGGGCAGGTCTCAAAGTGGTCAGGCTGAGTGGAAGAAGCCATACCCCAAAAAGGAGTCTATGCTGTGTATGATTTCACTTATAAGAAACTCTAGAAAACGCAGCTAAAGAAAGCAGGTCCTCGGTCCTGGGGTGGCAGGGCTGGGAACAGCCCTGTGACCCATGACTAGCAGCACAGCTATGGTTTGTAGGAGATACATAAGTCATGCTCGGAAAACTGTCCTGTGCACCTTCTAAACATGTTGGTTTACTTTATGCCAACTACATCCCAATGAAGCAATTTTTAAACAAGGAATCAAGGTTACCAGATCAGAGCAAGGATGAGCTGGGGCACTGGAGTCCAAGGGTGATACAGCCAGTGGAGAGACCCAGCAGGCCATGAGGGGCCCTGTGGCTACTCTGTGTGGCTCCCAGTCATAAATGGAAGAGTGAGTCCATCAGCATGGTCTGGATTTTCCCACCATCTGGCTGTTTCCGCAAGCAGAGCCTCTGACTTGGGAGGCTCCTCCCCTTCTCTCCCATGTACCCCAGTAATTCTTCCCTCACTGGGCACCTGGCCTTCTGCTCCCAGACTTGGGAGACCCCGAACCCTGGGGACCCTGTCCTGCGGTCCCCATCGTAGATTCCCTCTTCACCGGAGGACCCCTGGCCCGACATCGCCTCCTGTGAAGCCTCTGGACGTTGCCATGGCCATCCCAAGCCCCTTTAAAACTCCAATTTGGAATATACAATCAGAATCTTGATGCTGTCCAGAAGCTAAAAGTCTTTGGGGAAAAGAAAATGCCTGAAAGAGGCTGCTGGGGCCCAGGGAGAGCTCTGAGGACACGTGAAGGCCTAAGCACCACCCACAGAACGGACGCCTGTATCTGCTCCAATGCTTGTCTGAGGGAGAGACTACCACCTTCTTTTGGTAGATGTAGGATGGGGGACTGCTGAGGTTTCCAGAAATCCATAAGGAAAGGACACACTCTGCACCGTTGGAGATGGTGAGTCTGTGCACCAGGCACCCTGCCCACGGCCCGTAGGAAGAGTCACCTGAGCCCTGGGGCTCTGCAGCTTACCTCTGGGTGAGGGTGAACTCAGGAGCCTGCAGTGGAAGCTGGGGCACCAGGAAGCCGCTCGCCTGTGGTTCCGCTTGGCCACCGCTGGTACCTGGACCCTCCTCCAGGTATGTGCTCCGGGCATTGCTGCTGGGAGGGTCAGCGAATCCTGCACGGGAAGAAATCCCACAACCCAGTGCTGGGGGAAGGGAGCACAGTCTACGTGCAGCACAACACAGGCCTCCGTGGAGAAGCAGCCCCCAGCCTCGGCTCCCGCGCGGAAAGAACAGCCACCACTGCTGATCTCAGTGGCCTCCGCAGGCTCCCAAAGACCAAAACAATGTCAAGTTTTGCTGACCTCAAATTTCTCTTTGTCATTCTAGATCTCACGCCAGCCCCAGTGCCAAACAAAGACTCAGCACCCCAGTCTGCCCTACGCCCACTGCGGCTGTCTGAGGAGAGACCCTGCGGTGTCCCCCGTTCACCACAGGCTGGCCCAGCCCACGGCCATTGACCTCCCCTTTCACCTTGGGTTTCACCATGATTTCACTGCAGTGCCAGGTGTTACTACCTTACCTTGCCTTTTCTCTCTACTTAAAATATTGTAGAAAATCTCTCAGCATGTCTGTCTTTCACCCTAAAAGGCAAGCCACTGTGGACGTGATCAATTCTGGGTCGACAGACATTTAGGAGCAAAGTGAGCTAAGGAGGAATGTCCATTGCTGCCCTAAGTCTATCCAGGTGGTAAAACTAGCATGCATCCCTGATCTCAGACCCCAAACAACAGTCCTCCCTCCTGTCTGCCAGAGCCCAGACCTTCCTAACCATTTGGTGTATGACTCTACCTCCGCCTTCTGCTATTTCCCCTTTCCTACAGAACTTTACGGATAGTCTGAGGTCCAGGAAATATGGTTAACTGCTAATTTGAACATTTCCAGTTTACACAGAATAGATCAGTGGGTTTTATCTTCTTCCTCCAAGAAAAACAGAAATAAAAATCCCGAAGCCTAGAACAAAGTGAGTGTCATGGGAAGGGTAATTGGCAGGTGGGAGATGTCCATGTTCTGCAGATGCAGGGCACAGGTCTGATCCCATGGTGGGGGCTGTCTGAAGGAAAGCTGGGGCATAAGCAGGGGCCAAGGACCCTGAGAGGTTTGCAGGGAGGGAGGGAAACCAAGGTGCTCAGGCAACCAGCAGGGAGCTCTCCAATTCCCAGAGAACACTCCCTTCACATAGGCTGGACACGGTGTGAAGACCAGCTTCCCTCCTCCCAGTATGAGGCTGGCCACTGCCCATCCCAACTCCAGCCTTGTTAGTAAACAGGGACAGGAAAAGGTCTCTGAAATCAAAGACCAATTCGATCAGATGGAAAAGCTGCCTCGGAGAAATGAGTCTCCAGGCTCTTCCTCTTTGGGGCACCTCTTCCTCCTCTGTTCAAGGAAGGGCCTGAATCCACAACCCCAACATTCCCCCCTTCAGGCAAGAAAGCACATTTTCTGAAACTACTAACTAGGATACTCGGAGAAATATAAGATATTGCAGCTATAAAAAGTAATACAATCGGGGCTTCCCTGGTGGCGCAGTGGTTAAGAATCCACTTGCCAATGCAGGGGACACAGGTTCGAGCCCTGGTCCCGGAAGATCCCACATGCTGCAGAGCAACTAAGCCCGTGAGCCAAAACTACTGAGCCTGTGATCTAGAGCCTGCGAGCCACCAACTACTGAAGCCCGTGCGCCGAGAGCAGATGCTCTGCAACCTCAATGAGAAGCCCGCACACCACAACGAAGAGCAGCCCCCGCTCGCCACAACTAGAGAAAGCCCGTGTGCAGCAACGAAGACCCAACACAGCCAAAAATAAATAAATTTATTTTAAAAAACTTATTTAAAAAACAAAAACAAGTAACATGATCTATGAAGAAAGGAAAATCAGAAATAAGAAAAGAGAGCTTGGGGAACTTCCCTGGTGGTCCAGTGATTAAGACTCCATGCTCCCAATACAGGGGGCCCAGGTTCAATCCCTGGTCAGGGAACTAGATCCCTCATGCCTCAACTAAGAGCCTGCACGCAACAACTAGAGACCCCACGTGCTGCAACTAAGACACGGCGCAGCCAAATAAATAATTAAAAAAAAAAAAAGAGAGCTTGGAGTTCTCTTAAAATGTATAATTGTCAAAATATCAGAAGACAGAGTTTAAGACAAAAGCACATACAATAAAAAAGAAAATTTTTTAAAAAGGTAAGCATTTTGGGAGATTGGTCCAGGATTTCCAACATCCAAATAACATTTGTGCTCTAAAGAGAGTACTGGAAGGAGGAAACTAGCAAAGAAAATCACAAAAAGTGCCCAGAGCTTAAAGAAGACCTTGTTCTCTGGTTCTTTAAATTGAAAAGCTTAACAACAAAGTGAATTCAAAAGACTCACACCTGGGACCATCACTGTGAAATTTCACAACACCAAGACTTCAAAAATAAAAAGCTCCAATAAAGGAAAAATACGTGAACATCAGAATGACATCTAACTTAAAATGACAACATTGGATGCTATAATCGGATGCTATGTTGCTTTCAAATTTCTAAGGTAAAAAGTATTTTAAACTCAGAATTCTGTCCCTGACAAGTCGTTAATCAAACTTGAGGGCGGATTAAAGACAATTTCAGAAGATGCAAGGAAACAGACACTACCTTGCAGGCACCCTTTCTTATAGAGTTAATTAAAGACATTCTCTAACATAACAAGAGTCAAGAAAGAAAGAATAAGACTTGCAATTAAGGAAATGCTGAAGCAAACCCAGGGAAGCAGTTAAAGGTGCTCCTGGGATGACGGCTCCACACCAGACTGGGAGCAGGAAGGAGGCCCTGGCAACAAGTCTTCACAAGGGACGCTTAAGACACTGCAAGAAGTTAGGAATGTGATAAAAGCAGACAATGTAAGAAAAAAGGGAGGCAATGACAAACTACAAGACAACCTGTATGGAACCACAGAAGACTAAGAAATTTAGTCGGGCTGAGTTCAGTGCCAACATCCTCCTTAGAAGCTGGGATGTCACAAGATGCTATCGTGTTTGGTGCACGAAATATATATCTGAATACATATTCTTTAAAGGTATTTATAGCGACAGTTACAACTAAGGAAGAAACTAGGAAGAGAGAGCTAGAGGTCTGAACAGCTCAGCCCTCCTCTGTTGTAGCAGATGTTGACTGGTTAGTTACAGGGACTGGAGTACAGGGGTGGCAGCCATTTCATTTCATTTTAACTCTTTCCTCACCATCTTATTTTTTTAGTCACGTGCACATTTTATTTTGAAAACAAAAATAAAATGAAAAATATCCAGGCTGTTGGTGGGAAGAGCCTGTTCCAACTGCACTGGTTTGGGGTCTAATCAAATATAAGAGATTCAAGCATAAAGTCCTGGCCCCTCAAAATTCTTCCCCGTCAAATAACATACAAGCAGTTGAAGCATCTGATGTAGAAACACATGGTCTGTCTAGCATACACCCACCTGTGGGGCTGGCCTCACCAAGGGCGGTGATGGACACAGCCAGAGGAGCATCTGCAGGGCGCATCGTGAGGTCCAGCCCGTGACTGTGGATCAGTGGCCTAGTCTGGAAGGAAACTTCCTTGGAGGATTCCAGTGCAAGAGACGTCAGCCACGACTCGGGGGCACCCAGAGAGGGGTCCAGCATGTCGCTGCCAGCAGCCAGAGAGCAGAAACCAGAGCCAGGGCAGACGGGAGGAAGAGTGGCAGCATCATGGCTAGGCCCCTCCTGGTACATCTCACCACCCTGCAGAGACCTGGGGAGCAAAGCGAACACCATCCCTCAGGCTGCGGTAGTGGGGCCTGGGAGGAGATTCCAGCCCAGTCTGGGAATCTGGGCTCCGGACTCAACGCAGCCACAGATGGCTGTGGGGTCCACCCCAATCACGCTGCCTCCACAGTTCTCCCTGGGGCTGCAAGGGTTCCAGAAACACAAAAAATACTACCCCTGGAAACCTAAGATACATTAGCAGTTTATTTACAAGGACCTTCAATGAAACATTGTTCCACAATATTGAAGTCTGAAAATGATTAGCAAGAACCTAATAGTTGAATGATTAAATAAAGGTGGATCTTAAAGGAATGTTAGGCAGCAGTTAATAATTTAAAGAATTAAAATATTCCCCAAATGCTCCCTGTGTCTCAGATGGTGTTCCTGGGCTTTTGTTAACAACCCCCCGCCCCTGTAATCTGTGTAATGACATGCATGGCAGGGTCCATCACTATCCCCATTTCACAGATGAGAAAAAGCAGACACTGAGAGGTCACAGGAACCTGCCTAAGGCCACACACCTGGGTAGTGCCAGCCCAGACGTGAGGTGCCAGCCCACGTGGTGTCATGAGAGATGCTTAAAACACAAGTGTAAATGGAAAAAGTGGGCACAGCTTGATGTTTACGCAGACGTGGACCTGGTCCCACACTCAAGACTCAGTCCTGCTGCTGCCGGCACTTTCTTCACAGCAGTTTGTGCGGCACCACAGGGGCAACAAGGTGAGGGAAAGCGGTTAGACAGGGCCTGGTCTGTAGCAGGAACTCAAGAAATGTTGGCTGTTACTAACCTAATGATATACCAGCCATACCAAATGATAGAGAGAAACAGACCACGAGGACAGCGGGTTTGCCTTTAGGAGATAGGTCTGCTTGTTTTTCTTTCTGTTTTCCCCATTCACCAAAATTTACGTGTCGCCAGGCTGTGAGTCAGGCTCCAGGGAACAAGTTTGGGGTCCATGACGTGGGCTCCTTGCCAGTGGCTCCCCTGTACCTGGGGTCTCAGCTAAATCTGCCCTCCGCCATCACTGAGCTGGTCCCAGTGCCCGGCAGGCGTTCCTACACCCACTCCAGGCCTGGTCTCCCACTGAGGATGGGGAATTGAACAGGGAACGGTCCCATGGCCCACGTGGGTGGCAGTACCTGGGAGCCAGTGACTTTGGCATGGTCTCGTCTCCAGAGAAGTCTGGGGCCAGGACCAGTGGCTCCCACGGCCCTTGGGTGGTCTCCTGGGTCTGTACAGATCCACTTTCCTCAGGTCCTGCTAAAAGCCGATCAGACAGGAGGGGAAGCTGGGTGATGCTCAGGGTCCCAGCAGGTTAAGAACAGCCATGCTGGCTGCCCAGTATTCTCTGTTTGTCCCCTGATCTGTCTTTGGTCTGAACCAACACCCATAATTAGGAACCCAGAACACCCTAAATTCTAGTGCTTGGCTCCCTTCCCACTGACTCCTGGCCCTGGCCGCAAGGTAACCTCTCAACGCAAAACGCTGCTGCAGCCCCACCTGGGCCCATCCTGAGTCCAACCTGACCCTCAGCTTCAGCGATCTCGCTTCCCACAGGGTGAAGTCCCGAACGTGCAGACAGGGGCTGGCGGAAAGGGTCCTGTCCTGTAACCAGTGACCCTACCTCAGCCTGGCCCTAGACACAGGTTTTGGGAGAGGGGCCACTCACCCGACCACTGAGGCCTGTCCACGCACCCAGAGCCAAGGTGGGGCTGGCCTGTGGGCTGCCGGGGGCGCGGGCCGGCCTCCCTCGCGGTGCGGTCCTCCGCCGAGTCCCGGGCTGGCGCCGAGCGCTGCACAAGGGCCCTTTGGCGCCGCCGGTAATTGGCGAACCAGTTGTAGATCTGTTCCGTGGTCAAGTGCGTCTCTGAGGCCAGGTCCTCCTGCCCCGAAAAAACACGCCGCTTGCCCAGCCTGCTCCTGAGACGCGGGGCTGGGACACAGGGCGGCCGGGGCATCATGCCGGCCGGCGCCGTGGCCTCTGGCCTTGTTCCTCCTCAAGCCGCCGCCCGGCCGACGGCCACTCGCAGCCGGGAGGGCTCGGCAGGGCTTGCAAACCGGACCCTCCCGAGGCGCCACCAAACCACTGACCGCCCGCCCGCCGGACCGCTGCGAGAGCGCGTCGGCCACGACCGACCCTGTGACCAGGCACCTGTCCTTCCTCAGGAGCCAGATCCGAACCACCACGGGCCACAGCACGGAGCTCCAGGAGGGCCCTGCTGATTGGACCCGGAGAGAAGGGGCGGGGAGATCACTGGGAGAGCCCTGCTGATGATTGGACCCGGGAGAGAAGGGGCGGGGCGATCATTGGGAGAGCCCCGCTGACTGGACCGGGAGAGAAGGGAGCACGCCAGCTTTCTGAGCGGCAAGGCTCTTACTGCTGCCCCCTCCACCTGCTCCCGAGGGCTCACCCGTGCATCCCTCCTGCTGGAGTCCCGGCCACGGTAACGGCTCAGTGAGCACCTGCTGAAGCCACACTGGATGACGGGGTATTAAGACTCCCGTGATGAAACTAACCCCGCCACGTGTGCAGGCGGCTGCCAGCCAAAGGGCGCCGTCCCCAGGGCAGTTCAGGGCAGGGGGAGAGTGCCAGCGCCCTGGCAGATAGGCCACTGGGGAGGCGGGGAGGTGCGGCTGAGGATGCGGGTCAATCCCCTAAGGGTGGTAATGTCACCTAAGGGTGGGAGTCCCCTAAGGACCAGGGAAGGTAGGCTAAGGGGAGGGTTGCAGGGCCTGGCTCTCATCGGCTCTTACCCGCTCGGCCTTGCTGGGGTTGGTGCTCACGCCCGAAGCAAAGTCCCGCAGCTTCTGGCGAACTTCTCTGGGGAAGTTCCGGCTCTTGAGGCCGTCAGGGCAGAGGGAGACAGGCGGTGGGTTCCTGGATGAGGACAGTGAGACCCCCGGCTTCTTCTGTTGTACCTGCGTTGCTCCCCTGGACTTCCTGTCCTTTCACTGGCCACCCCCCCTCCCCTGCAGGTCTGTGTGCTGCAGTCCCCGGGTCCATCCCCTGAACAAGGGAGGGGTCTCGTGTTGCCCGGGCCCACACCCCACACTTTCACCAGGGTTTCCAGTACCACTCACTGACCAGTGGCCATGACTGTTAAAGCTGGGGGATGAGGGTACTGAGGTTGGTTATGCTACCCTCTTTACTGAGTGTATACTACCCTGAATGTATACTGAGTGTATGCTACCCTCTTTACTGAGTGAATACTGGAATTTTTCCAAAAGAAAAAAGGGACATATAAACAAACAGCACCTACAAGATTTGCTATCCAAATGCCAATTGAACAACCCCCTATGAACATCGAAAACACACCCCACACATCGCAGTGGAGCTCAATCTCCCGCTTCCCACACCGTCCCCCAGCCCGTCCTGCGCATCCCAGTGAGAGACCACCACGTCCCTGCCAATCAGGCCAAGAGCCCTGCAGTCAGGTTTATTCTCTTTACCTTCTCCAGTACGTTCAACCTATCATTAAATCCTCTAGAGTCAATCCTGACACAACCCTTTCCCCAGCCATGGCCACTCCCAGAAACTCCAAGAACCTCCCACCTCTGCTCCTGCACTAACCATCTGCTGTAACTCCAGTGTCACCCCTCCTTATGCCCAGAGCACGCCTTCCCTGTGCTCAGGCCTCTCCAAGGCTCAGCCCTGTGCCGCAGCCCTACCACAAGCAGAGGGCCAGTGAGTCACAGCCCTCTACTGAACGAGTTCCGTCTAGCATTCCTTGCTCTGAATTACGGGATCTGCTTTGTTTCCTGGTCTACTGTCCATCATCCACACCTGGGGGCAGCTCCAGGACAGCAGGGCCCCAGCACCTCTAGTAACGCCCAGCAACCAGGGGCCTCTTCACGAACACTGCATTGCTGGTCCCCAAGGCATTACTTTGCTGATCCACCCTCTGGCAGGCTGTCAGAGCCTATATGGAGGGACCTGACTGCATCCCTGAAGACCTCAAGGCTGACTAACTGCTGGGCTTTGAGGGCATATCTGGTGCGCACCATGAGAAAAATTCCGTCTGATCCAAAAGGAATCCATCTCTTCTTCCATCAACCAGGCCCATGGCTCAGAAACTCCTGTCACTTGGGCTTTCAGGAGCTCAGAGCAAGACCTGCAGCTCCTCCTGGCCAGTGGGGGACACCCAAGGTCAAGAATAAAGGCTCTCCAGTCTCGATGTCTAGGCTGGAATCCTGCCTTTGCATCTCTGTAGTGTGTAACCAGGCAAGTGACTAACTTTTCTGTGCTTTGGTGTCCTCATCCACGAACGGTGATGATGGTAATGATGATAACTAGTAGTCGTAACGTGTACTTAGTGCTGATAATGGTCATGGTGGTAATTATTATCAACATCCAGCCAGCAGCCACCGTGTACCAGACGGCCTTCTAAGCACTATGTGTATCTCATGTGGTGCTTGCAGACCCTAACCTTTCTTTCTCTTTTAAAGGTCCTGCAGCCCTGAGGGGCCGTGCTGGGATCCGGGCCAGGCACCTGCAGAGCCTGACCATGGGCCTGAGGGGCACCCATCCTGCAGGAAGCGAGCGAGGTCAGGGTGCCCACCTGCCGCCTCCCTCACTGACAGGCAGCGGCTCCTGCTGCAGCTACAACTTTCAGCCTGGGTCCTGGGAACAGCTCCCCGTCCTTGCCCTGTGGGCACAGGTCGGAAAGCGTCCCCACAGCCAGCCGAGCGGTGGAGAGGAGGGCGCCTGCTGCTGTGGAGCCTGTACCCTCTGTCTATCACCACTTCCTCTTGTCTCCCTGCCTCTGCTTCACCTAACTCCTTCTGTGGTCGTGGCGGGCAAATCCCTTGGGAGCCCTGGGGACTAGGCGCCGACAAAGGCAGGTTCATACCTCTTCCTGCACCGGAACTTCTGCACCGGGGTCAGCGTGGCCACGCCGAGCCTCTTCATGACCAGACGGTAGTGGATGTCATTCCAGAGCTGCACCAGCTTCAGGCTGCCACCCGGCACCCGGCATCCCTGTGGACAAGAGCCTGCTGAGACCCGGCACGCTCGCCTGCCCCAGAGCCCCGCCGTAGACCCAGACTGACCGCTAAGAACATCTGCTCGCTGGTGCCCCGCGGCGAGGGCATGAGCCCCATGGCCAGGCTCCTGTCCCCAACAGGCCCTCCCACGAACGGGAGGCGGGCACAGCTCTCCCTCGCCCCTCGAGGTGAGGGTCAGGCAAGGGGAAGGTCAACTCCGGGCTGTGGCCATAGCACCCAAGAGGCCGAGCCGCGCTGAGAAGCACATGGTCAGGTCTGAGGGGCCTGAGGCTTGATCCCCGTCTTGCGTGAAAGGCCTTTCTCTCCCACCAGCAGGGCGGGCCCCTGGGGCTCAGTGAGTTCATTCTGAGCTGAGGGGGATGAAGGGGTCCCGGTCTGTGCCAGTGACAGCTCCGCAACCCAGTGCGGCTTGGTCATGTAACCAGACTTTAGAGATGGCCAAGGACGCTGAGTGTGGGCCTCCCCTGGACACAGCCCCTGTGGTCAGTATGTGGTTCGTGCCTTTAACCCCAGTGTTCTCAGGCCCATCTTGGTGAGGGAGGTGCTGAGAATCATTTAGCTTCCTCTCAACAGCATCAGAAAAAGCCCATTTTGCTGGGCTGAAGCCTGCAGTCTCCTGCCAGGACGGAGACGTCAGCACAACCATCAGACAGGGAAACCACTTGGAGCCTCCCCACCTGCAGGAGTGGCCCTTGGCGGGAAATGCCCTTTCTTGATGTGGCAGCCCCATCCTTTCTCTCAGGTCTCAGAACACATCGCTTCCTCAGAGACATTTCTGGACCACCCCGAGTTACGCCCATCCTGGGGGTTTTTCAGCACTGATGTCACGCTCACATTCCATCACTGACTGCCTTCACGGCAGCTGCTTCAATTCAACTCTGTGTGTTCACCCATTTATTTTGACATTTGGAAGGCTGAGCCCTCTTATGTTCCAGGTGTTGTGCTGGGTATTGGGGATCCTTTAATGGGCAAAACTAACGCGCCCCTGCGCCTGGGGCCTGCAGTGCAGGAGGGGAGGCAGATCATAGATCGAAAAATAGACAGGTTTCTAACCGTGAGCTGAGGAAGGAGCCATAGAGGGGGATGAGGGCTCCCTTAAGTCCTAGCTTGACGGGGTGACATTCAAAGCAGAAACCAGACAGGTAGGAAGGCACCAGCCACACAGAGTGGTGTCCAGCCTCCGGCAGAGGGAACAGCACGCACAAAGGTCAAAAGACAAAGATCTCGGGAGTTCCAGGAGAACAAGCAGCCAGCACAGCCACTGTGCGGGAGCCAGGACGGGATGGCAGGCTCTGGGCCCGCACCTCGGTGTGTACCGTGGTCCCATCTGCAGTTTTAAAACTGCCTCTGGCTGCTACGTGAAGACTAATAGAGGAGGCAGGAGAGGACATGGTGGTGGGGCGTGAGCGCCAGGAGGGTGCCGCAGGGCTTGGGGGAGAGGGAGCAAAAACAAAGAACTGGGCAGAGTTTAGTATCGTGAAGGTAAACTCAGCGTGAGTTATGCATGGACTGTAATATGGAGTGAAAAAGGGAAACACAGGCCCCCAAATCTCTTATTAAAACCTTTTGAGCCAGATGTATTTTGGAATTCAGAATTCCTCACACTTCAGGAAGTAACACAGGTATATACTACATAATTTGCACTATCCCAGTATGATCTAGGGCAGGAAGCATCCTGCAAGCAAACACACCAGGATTTGGGTAGCAAAACGTACTGCAGTAACATTAAGTGGATAAATAAAGACAAAAATAGTTTCCCATCAATGCAGCTCAGGTTTGATGCCAACTGAGTTGAGGTTCAAAGTACCACCAGAGGAGTGACAAAGATACTTGTGGTCTCAGAGTTCCCGGATGCAGACCCACAGCTAAGGGACTGCGGTCCTGGGTCTGTTTGATTGCTTGCCTCACTAACCGGAGTGCCAACTTTCCAAGCCAGGACCACTGGTCCAGGACCAGAGGGATTCGACAGATGGACAGTTCTGTCTCAGGTTAGCAGGCAAGTTAGAACTTAGTACAGTGAGAGTGAACGGCCCTGGCTCGGCTTATAGCAGCTCTCCCCAGGCTCCTGCTGACTCCTGGGCACCTCTGTCATCTTCAGGCTGCTGTGGGCTGCTGCCCCACCCCGGTCCTACCTCTAGCAGCTGGCAGGCAGCCCGGTTCTGCTCCTGCTGGGCCAGCACGCTGGCACACACCAGGGCCACGTCCGCGTTGTCCAAGAGGTACAGGCGGAACTGGCTGTCCAGCACGGCCGTGACCAAGGTCTGCACCTGGGCGGGGTCGTCCTGGACCTCCCGGCACAGCCTGCCTGCGAGGGTCACCAGGTCCGCCAAGGGCAGGCCAGCACCTCCACTTCCCCTCAGCAGCTGCAGGAAGCTCTGCATCCCGAGTCGGGTTGGACCCCTCTGCAAACAAGACGAAAGTCAGGACCACCACCAGCGCTGATGGGCTGACTGCACATCAATCCTCAGACCAACAATGCGAGCCTCTCCCGCCACAGGTACTTGTATCGTGGCGGCAGTGAGAGAGCGCGGCGCGTCAGGGCCCGCCAGACTTTCCTTGTAGTCCCCACAACAGCGTAGACCCTGGCGGTGCACCAAGGCTCAGCTCGCCGCTCTCACTACCAGACTTCTCACTCGGCACGCCTGGAACCTCTGTCTGGTGCCCTCGTGCCCCTCACCCGCCGCGCCACCTCTCTGTTTCCCCACTTCTCACACCGCTTGTCACTGTTTCCTCCTTCCTTCTCCGGGGTCTATGGGGGACAGGCCCACCTGCGCTGGGGTCATCAGATCCCCCCAGCATCTGCCAGACGGAGAGCAAGACCTCTCGGAGCAGGTGGGCGGGGCCGCGGGCCACGGGCTGCGCAGACGCCCTAGGCGCTCCTTCGGAGCGGAGACAGAGGCCCGCTGAGGCGGGACCAGCAAAATTCGCTTTTAACTATTTTAATTTTGGGGGGAAAAAAACCATTATATTTGAAAACCACAAACATTTAAGGGTTGCTCTAGTCCGAAAAATTAAGAAATTAGAAAGGGAAGGGAAGGAGGAAAGAAAGAGGGACGAAGACAAGGAAACAGAGAAAGAGAAAAGGAGGGAGGAAGGGAAGGCACCGAGACAAAGAAATGAACACGTGCCGGCCTCCAGCACAGCCCTGCTGGAGTTTGGGCTCCCTGCCCTCACATCGCCTTGGGCACCAAGCTTCCCGCTCTGCCCGGTGAGGGCACAGGCTGAGAGCTGAGATAACCTGCAAAGGCCCGAGGGCGGGGGCCTGGCCAGACTGGCTTCCGTGCGGCCCGTTGCACCCCAAAAGCCCGCTCTGCCGCCCTCCCACCCCGACGCAAACAGGTGAGCCACGGCAAGCTGGACCGAAGGCTTTGCACTGTGCTAAAAAATTACCGTCTAACTATGCAAACACACACCAAATTTTAACAGCAGAGGGAGTTTGCTTATGGCGATACTCAATCGGGCCAGCACCGCAGGCATGACTCCCGGTCTGCGCCGGGTCCTGCAAAGCACCCGTGCGAGGCGCGGCCATAACGGGCGCCGGTAGCTTGCCAGCCGCGGCCGCTGAGGCAGCTGGCGATCGCTTTTTCAGACAGCACGTGCAGACCTGCGTCCACAACTACCTCACTTCTCTGGGACAGGCTCCTGGAGGCGAGGGTAAGGGCGCGTTTTCAGTGATGCTGCCAAACCGCTGTCCGCAAGGGTTGAGACAACCTGCGGAGAACTGCCGCGCTCCCGGCGGAGGGTCTGGCCTGCTTCCAGCTCTCTCCTCCCGGCAGGGCTTCCAGGGCGCCCGCCAGGGGACGCGCTCTCGCCGCCGCTTCCGGGCCTCAGCGCCTCGTCACGGGCTCCTGCCTCGGGGCCCCACGTTTCCTCCCGTCGCGACTGGCAGGAGGCCCGCGACCCCGCACCCTTCGAGGGACCCGGGTGTCCCCCAGCGCCGACAGCCCCGCCCCACGCGGCTCCAGGAAGGGCGGGAAGGAGGCTAAGGGCCGAGCTCATGGAGAGGGTCCTGGAGTTCGGGAAGGAAGTGGGTTCGGGGGGGCACCCCGAACACTGAGGGGACCCGGCCCGGCGGGGACAGAGGGGGTGGGGGGCGGGCGGCTATGCCCCGCGTCCTGCCCGGACACCTCCGTCTGGCCGTGGCCCTGCGCCGCCGGACCTCTCCCGGCGCCCTTCTCCCCGCGGGGCCCGAGAAGCCTCCCCGGCGGCCGGCCCCGGACGCCGGACTCAGTCACCGTCGCCCGGACGACCCCCTCGTTCTCTCACCTTCATCCGCACGCCCCCAACTCACCCCAGCCAGGCGCCCGGGGCCGCTTCCAGGCTCGACGCGCACGTGCTCCGCCCGCACGTCCGGGGAGGCGGCGGGAAGGCGCGGTTGATACAGAGTAACCAGGCCTCCGCCAATCCCTGCAAGGGCCCCGCCCGATGACCCCCGCCCGTGCCCTGCGCCCCCTAAGTCCCGGGGGCCTGCGGTTCCGCCCGCCTGGGTTCGGGGCATTCCGGTGGTTCTTGGGGAGCCGAGAGGTTCTCGGGGGTCCGTGGTATTCGGGGGGCTGCACGGGGGCCGACAGGTTGGGGGGCGAGGGCGGGGCGTCGGAGGCGCCATCCAGCCTGGTTCTGCACGTCCTCAGGCCCCAGGAGCGGAGCCGGGGTCCTGGGGGTCCTGGGCTGGGGTGGAGGGGAGGGCGCCACGACCCCCGCCCCTGCAGCAGGAGGAAGCTGTGACCCTGGATTAACCCCACGCCACCGCCCTGGAGCTCTGCGGAGACAAAGCCCGGCTGGGGTCGTAGCCCAGGGGGCAGACCCCCCCGCCCCTCCCGTGCCCCCGCAGCCCCAGCCGGAGGCCCCCGGGGATCCCACCCCCGCCTGACCCTGGGGCGCAGCTGCGCGCGGCGGAGAGGCCTTCGCGACGGTGGAGGCCTGGGGACCCGAGTTCTCGGTGACCCTGGTCAGCCACGCAGGGGAAGCCTCTGAAGTGCCGCCGTCCTGGCTCGGACACGCTCTGGCCTCTCCCCTGTGCAGTTTAGTTTGGGGAGATGTTGCACACAGCGAGCCGGAAGGCGCTCTAGAGAGGAGACCAGGAGGGTTTCGAGTTGCTTTTTTTTTTTTTTTTTTT